CTTTTGTGAATCAGCGACTCCCAACTATCTGTTAATTGTCATACCAGCTGCACACCCAGCTATTCTCATCTCGATCACATGAAGATGATTTAGAAATAATCATCTAGTTAAGTGCTGATTAGATCATCTCAAGTGGTCTTCACTACTTCTCAAACCTAATTCATCAAAACTCCAAGGTTGCTTTCAGAGGACATTGGTTCACATCCCAAGTTTAACTAGATTTCTGTCTAAATCCAGTAATTACTTCAATACATTAAACTCAGTCTGGTCATCAAGGCCATCTCAGACAGTGTTATCAACAATGAATCTGATAAACTTGTCTGAGTAAAATAAAAAGTGTAACTTTCCGATGAAACTTCGAGCTGGTTTACATTATATCATAGGTAATGCTAAAATTCTTTTGTTTAGTTGGACTCTTGTTAAAAATAGACATTGTTATCGTCAACATGTTATGTTGTTGAAAAAACTGAAAGCCGAAATCAGTGAAGGTAATAATCAACTGACTTAGATACGCTTCTCGGTTTTGGTAACAACTTAGTTATCAAATTCGTTCCTTTTATCCCCAAATATTTCAAAAAGTACACGACTCTTTTGAGAAGGTTGTCGTTGTAGTTTTGAAAATCGAGGTCTAACAGCACCAATACGTTTCAAAGTATAGGGTCTCAATGTTAGTGAATGAGGAGATACACGATTGCGTTTTAAATTTTTGTTAAATACTTTGGAATATTCGTGTTTGTTCACACATTTCTTTAGGGAAGAAGTTTTCTCATTCACCTCTGCAAGTCTGACTGAAGAAAGTAGAAACTTGTCTACTTCGCTTATCTTCGAAGAGTCTTTGCTATTTTTCAAATATCGAGACAAATCCATTTAATCACAGGAAAGCACAGAAGACGGTTACTGTGAAGAAGATTTTTCTTTTCGACGAAATCCAAACAATATGTTGTGATTACTGCTTAACTTTGGATGTTCAATTTCGAAACACTAAATACCTAACCATTCTTTATGAACTTCGTTGTTTTAAGACTAAGAAGCTTGACTGAAACATTAGAAAAGTATCGTGAAATGTTCAGAGTTACATTATGTTTAAGACTTCAAACACCATACAAATTAAGAAATTTCGCATACTCTTTACCGAGATCACTGAATGTCAATATAAGCAGTTTAGACAGCTTGGATAAGAATTTCGATAAGATAATAATCAGTATGGCTGTGGACCGTGCATGACAGGACCTTAATCCTATTACAGCGACATAAATGTATTTGCCGCTCATCATTGCTAAAATCATGAACAGTGTGTAACATATCTCACGTTTACTTCCACGTCACAAATTTCCATCTTTTCGCTTATGTGAAACTTCCCCAACTTTTGTGGATCGCTTTTCTATTCTTTGCTTAGACTGAGATTATAAGCGGGAAACTAATGAAACCAAAAATTAAGAATAATATTTAAAATCCGATAAAAATGTTATTGTTGACAATAGTCACCAGGTCAGAATCAGTATTAGATCAAGTTTCGCTGATATCAGGGATTACGTTTCTCGTATGATCTCAATATATTACTATAATTATTAAAGACTGAACCAGAAAACATTTCTTTCTTCAACATCTTGAATATTATAACGATAAAAACTTCACGAAACAAACTTATTGGCTCAACTTTTTCAGGGTTTCGAAATAAATGCTTCGGTTTTTCTTGCTTCCAATACTACTGATAGTTTTAGCAGACGCTTAAAATATTCGGTTCTAACCTCGTTCCAATACACAAGTAATTAAGTTGTACAAATGATAATAGACTCTATCAGTTCAACTCTAGTAGACTCACGTAATGCGTTTTGTACCATGACATATTTTCTGCTTTGAAGTCCCCAAGGATTTCCATCTTCTCAGACAATTAAGGCGATGTATGCTGATTACTTTCATGGCCAAATGGCTTTCCAAGGATGTTTTTGCATAAACTACCAAGTCAAAGATGCTGGCTGTGACACTTCATGAAAAGGCTAATGTCGACTAAATGAAATTGTTTGATCGGATAACTTTTTGTACTGGAGAGATATCTTATGGTCCACTTAAAGTCTTGTATGCTGGTAGTAAAGCTCTAATCAATGTTATATACCAGAATATTGCTTTTTCTGAGATATCCGTGCAAACGTTCTACATCCAACATTTCTGTTTCATATTCTACTGAACATGTTTTCAAATATAAGAAAATCCACCTGTTGAGTTGTATAAATCTGTGAATAAGGTGGTAAATGTTATAGGAATATTAAGGATAATTACTGTGTCTAACTTATAAGTCCTTCGAGCTAGCAATGAATTTGTCGATTAATGAACACGTTTATGACATGAAAAACCGATCAAAGATATTATCGATCCTACATTCCCACTGATGCAGTTCTAGGTGGCTAAGAATTGACATCAATTTATACATGCCTTCTTTTAAAGTTATCAACAGCGTTTCATAATAATTTTCATCTTTCATAAAAAAATCTAGGAAGAAACTACTGCTTTCATAATATACGTCAAAAAGTAACCAGATGAGAAATAAATGTATTTAACAATCTAATACTATATTCAACAGTACTTTCACTAAGACAAAATTCGCCCACTCCATCAAAAATACAGCGTTCGATAATTCTAACGAGAATTAATGTACACTATTCTAATGACACGAAACTCGAATTACTAGTTTGTGTGCCTTTTACGAAGTATGCACCTTAAAAAAATATAGAGATACAAGCTGCTACAGTTGCTTCTCAACACATCTCAAGAAAACTGAACTTCGGAAAAGAATGGTGAAAAAAGGCCTAATAGATGATATCTTTTTGGGCACAGAGTACTGAATTAATCTAAAAATGATAAGGATTGAATCTGTATGTACAATTTAGTGCATTGATGAGATATCCAACTGAAGATGTACTGTAAATCATTTCGCCTTTTACAGTATTCTACTGTGAAAAATGATCTTTTATCATGGTAGATATGGATCAGTTGCGCGTTTTTTTATTCGCAGTTGTCTTCAAAATGTTATGTGCATTAGGTGAGATTGCTAAGAGAAGGAGAGGGACTAATTTCAGTTTATTGTGACGTAGAATAATATGATGTAAATGAATAAGTATCTGTTTTAAAATCTAGTTTTCTACAAAATATGAGACGATTTAAGTTACTTTTGAAAATTAGGAATTAATGAACTTCCGTCACCTTTCTCAGATGCTTTCATACTACAGTTAACACTCTCACGTCCGTGATGAAACATCAGTATCGTGTTATTGGTTGCATGTCCTTTAGGAGAAGTTCTGAAAGCGCTTACAAAAAGTTATTGTTTATGAAGTCTGGTAACTCAGTAACAGGAATATACGTTTTTGAAGACACTGGAAGTTAAAAAGTGGGATGCACTGATACTAAGCCAAGCTACTTTACCATAGTCTGATGGGTAATAAAAGTTAACTTTCTTAAACTTCATTGAAAATAAAAATACTTCTAAAAGATGTATATAGTGAAGGAGTTGCAGCCTGCTACTCCTGGTTTTGATGAATATTTTCGAAACTGAGCGAATGAATTCAAAATCTTGTTGTGTGATAGGATGGAGAGAGTGATATCATTTTATTGATGATCAGTTGTGTCCTTATCATTTTATATTAGTTTTTAGAGTATAATATTTCGTTCCTTAAATTAGACGACATGTTTTATCCTTCAAAACCAAATTTGGAAAAAAATCTTGATTTAGAAAAATTTCAGCTATCTTATTTATCTCATTTTGCCGGTCTTTCCAATAGAAAAACTCATCCATCAAGCACTTGTATTTGTAGTGCACAAAAAATTAGTCAAGTTTATGAGATTAATCTTACTACCATTATAAGACGGTAGGCAAATGAAATCTGACATTGTAAACCGCAACTTAAGATCTCCTTTTGATCCCAACTCTGTTGATAATTCTGAAGAATTAAATGTTTCCAAAAGCATTATGGCTCCAAACGGACATAATGGAAATATCTTTACTGAAACACACATTCATATCTACAAATCAATTCAGTTTAGACTTTGTGTTAAAATCCTAACTAGTCCACTGCGTTCATACACTTCATGAACGGTATCCCCTGTTCACCTAGATTTTACTAACTTTTTACTGGACAGTATTTTGGAAGTTCTTTATTATCTGTTTCAGAAGAAAAGGCTTGGTAGGCTTCAATAAGACAAAAATATGCGTGACGGTTACTGTCCCCATTATTTCTTTCTAATGGTTTATTGTAATCTGATTAAGTAAGAGTTAGTAATCTTCACTAGCAACAGTTAGTTATTTACTACATTCTTCTGCATTTTGTTACTTTCTCAGTCTTTTACTAATGACTTTGGGTCAAGACATGTCATGAGAAATTTGCATTGGCACATAAATTAGTAAAAATAAAAATACAGTCAGTGAGACAGGCAGAACTATATTGCTCCACTCTAAGCTGAGTTTTGAAATATTACTTTATTGAAACTAAGCCAGTACACAAAAGAAATCTATCAGATATCCAACAAAGACCTAAGCCTGGCATGATTACTCTAAATAGAAAAAGCCATTTTTAAAATGAATTAGGACTATAGCTACGTCATTTCCTACGCCTGAAGTATGTTAATAATTATGTCAATAACTGACCTCAGAAGCTTGCTAGTAGCTAACCGATTACTATGGATTCCTTTTTTCTAGAAATATATCTTGTTACTTTGCAAAGCTTTGCATGTATTTCGAAACTGGCAAATCATGAAAATTGATAAATAAATACATCACCTTGCCAAGGTGGCCAAGAATAGCTAGAATGAATGGAGAAACATATGTCTCATCAACAGTTTGAAGGTGTCAGATATCATACATTTTTAAAAATCTGCTATTTCCTTGTTCATACACGTTTTCCCATGTGAGTGAATAGGTGCCAACAGTCAATAGTGAGCACAAGTGTATTAAAACCGAAATGTAAGATATTTTTACGCGTTAATTCGGAAATCTATATTTATAGTCTTACCTATAGTGGTGATAACTGTGGTCACGAAGAATATCGCTTCATAAAAATTCCAGTCACTTTCATTCCTTTCTTCTTCTTTCAAATCATCCATGGCAACTGCTTCGAACTTAGCATTTACTTCCATGCTTTTTCCTAAATGAAAATCTTCATACCAATTTTCTGGAATGTCAATTGAACTGTAAGTGCTGAGGTTTTTAACTGGTGTCATTGATATGCGCATTTTCCTTGCTGCCACCACATGTTCAACAAATTCGTTAAGTTCATCACCTTAAAAATAAGTATATGCATTTCTTAGGCAGCATGACTGATATTAGTAGACTAAACTTTAGAATTGCTCTATTTAAAAAATTGCAACACATAAAACACAAATGGAAAACACCATAGCTGAAGGAATGTGAGATTGATTATCTGCACTTATTGATTTTTAAAAAGCAGTACTCATTATGAAATAGTCAGCGATTCTGACATAGCTTAACTTCGGTTAATTTGAACAATGTATGTTGGCAAATTTATCAGAAAACCTAATCATAACAAAACATTCTGAAAGTCACAATGGTAATTTTTTTCTGAGGTTTGATATCAACAGTCACTTTTAAATCTGAAGTCTAACCTAAATGTATTCTTTGTTTTAGATGCATCTATATGTGTTAGTTTCTTACCACAGGAGTAATTTGAGAACTTTGTAGGCGAATCCAGATGCCCATGTATACATAAATCAAAACTTATGAGACCGCCAAGTTCCGTTTCATAGGTGAGACGCTAGTTGGTTGAAGGCCAAGAAGTTTTGCAACTAGGTTTCGTGCCTACTGGCACTCATCAACAAGGCGCATTTGCCATCTCCAGAAAACGGACGTCAGCTTTTTAATCCCAACCTGGTTGCCTCTAACAAACTGAAATCCATCAGTATGTACCACAGTGATGAGTCTCCTAGTTTGGTGATCATACTGCAAAATGATCTACAGCACTTAGGACTAGACAACATAAAATTGCTTGCTCTCCAGTGACCAGTCAGCGCATAGATAAGGTTAATTATCTATAACAGGACAATTTGCTGCTGCCTGGATAGAGTTGTGCCTGCAAGCCGCAATTGAAAACCTTCATAGATAATGTTGAACCTTTTAAATGCCTTCAATGTACACATTAGCTGGAAGTGTAGCCGCAATTATATAGAGATGGTTAAATCACAATCAATTCTATCTCGTTAGCACTGTTCATATTTAACACTAAGCGTTAAATGAAGTAAGAAATCAGTCGTTTCATACTAGAGAATGTACCTGTAGTGAAGTTTGTAGTGCACTTCAAAAACTATGATATTACTAGTAAAAAAACTAATGACGACCAGCACTCTACTGATGACAGAAAGATGACTCAGGTTGACCAGTTACTGTCAATCCTAACGTTAAATTAATAAAAATTCATTGAAAACAGACTGGAGTACTTTTCTCAACCGTCTACAGCATCATCCTTTTTCCAAGACGGTCTGACAGTCAAAACTATCATAAAAATTGCAGTTACATGTATTTGTGAATTGTTACCAACACAAATCCCTATTTAACTGCTCAAATTTACATCGTTATTCGGAATTCTTACATTCTCGATTACTGCTCTTCTGTATCACTATTTAAACTTTCACCGATATTACTAGGTTTCTGAAAGGACTGAACACTGAATGACAATATGTTCCGGCTTCCTAAATTTGACGGTATTTATCACTAACAGCAAATCAGTTTGATGAATACGATAAGCAGAAATATTTATCTACTCAATTATAAGCACTTTCCAGCCATCTCATTTGGAATTTATTTCTCTGCTCTAAACTTTATGAGTTATTTTTCTAAAAAATTGAGTGAGCTAGAAAATAAAGTATATTGTTTATGGTAATGTCGATTTCTTTATTCCAATTCTACCTAGTACGTCCGTAACGGAGTGGTTTACAAAAATACTGAAATACTTCAACCCATACCAATGAGGTCAGTTGTTCTCTTTTTTACTTTCAGCTGGTAAAACTATCAAACATCCGTGTGCTATTTTTAGTGTTCACTTCAATCTCTAACCTGTAAAACGTCTGACTGTTAGAAGCTAAAATCTATGGGATTAGTACATTGACTGTTCAGGTTGCTAAACTTCTAACAATCACGATGATGGGAAACAACACCAATGATACAAATAGGATGGGCCAAGAAACTGGATGAAGCCACGAAGAATGATTACAACTGGCAACTAATTTAGTCAGTAAGAAAATTTCGCCTGAGAAGGATATATTGATGGCATATTTACAGTTCGTATCAGGTAGAAAGAGTCTTGTCACTGGGTGTTGCTGTGGTTAGCTGTCACAAACAACCTAGAACCTGGATCGACTAAGCACCAAGGGATGAACATCTCAGCCCACTGCGTTTCTAAATGCCTATTTAATTCAAATCATAACACATGTTATCGTATATGATACTTTAGCTGCAACTATCATTCCGGTTGGAAAACCTTGATGTTCAAAGTCTACTGATATTGGAACACACTTTCAATAAGAAATATAACATCACTTTGGCAAAAGACGATTAGCATCTCAGTTTAAGGTTCGAATGCCTCAGTGACTGGAAAATTAGCCATCGAAAAATTATGCAAGAAAATAAACCAAACGGAGTGGAACCAGCAGGGTACAATTTCAATACTTTACCTGTAACGCATGAGTGAGTTCTTAGAAAGCGGATTTGTGAAGCATGTAATCGTAATCTTTCTCTTCTCTCCGTAGGTCTTTCAAGTTTATTAAAACATATTGCACCAAAGCAACAAAATGATATGTAGAGAGTTATGAACAAAAATAAGGGTAATTTTGCGAAAAGTCCGTTTTGTTTTGATGTCACCTCACTATTTTTCCAAGAAGGAAATTTACAGCATTGATTTGCGCACTCATGAACACGGTGATTTTGACATTTTTCACTTAAATTCATCCTTTCGCGCCTACAGGATACGCGGCATAGAATGTGAATCTTTCAGAAATTAATTACAACCAGTTTCCCAGCCAAAAATTTTCTGCTTTGAAATATGGTGAGTGGCAAAATTTCTCTGACGTTTCGTTGAAGTAGTTTGGCGGCAAAACAAACGCCTGGTCAAGGCAGACTGCTATGAAAAATCTCTTTCGCCAGAAACTAAAACTAAGAAGATTTAACAAACATTAACCAATTCATATAGTAATATACGGTAAACTCATGGCGTTTGTGAGTTTTTGTTGATCATAAGTTTATGCCCTTCTTGTTGAGTTGACACGGATTTAAATTAATTGTAGCTCATTAAAACAGGCTTCAGTTATCACCACAGGACTTTGGATTCACCGTTATGCTATTCAAGCAATAGGGTTTGAGAAACATTGCGAACTCATAATTTATGGGGTGGTAAACAGAAGTTTCTACTGAAAGTTAACATCTTTGTCCCATCAAATACTTCTTAACTGAGGTAACCATTGAGTGTTCTTAAGAAAGTGATCATTCTAATAGTATATATGCATCTCTATTGCAAAAGCATCTACGCATAATGCTCACCACTACAAGTAGTTCTGAAGTTAGAAAGTGAAACTTTGCTTCATGTTTGTATACTTTTGTGATTACGAATATTCCCATTGTTTTCTTGAGTTACCATCATCCCTTTTAAATACAGGGATCGTCCAACGTGTTCGGGCTTTTGTATAAGGAGTTACCATTTTCCATACCCTTATTATAACCGTCTGTGGCAAGCTGAGTAAATTCAGTCACATAAAAAAATAGTACTGAAAAAACTAGTTTTTCCAGTACTTCAAAGCTTTGAAGTGATAAGACTCATTCATCTAAGAACGCAGGAATCTGATAAAACATAAGATACTGGTACCTGAATTACTTGCAATAATATGTATTTGGGTGTCTTGAAAATTTCTAAGAACCGATTCTTAATAAAAAGGCATATATAGAATCCCACTTAAGCAGAAGTGCAAACATCTGAACTTCTAATCTCATACTTCTTTTCTTGCCCAATTTTGTTGTTTCACTAAAATATTTTAATAATATATTTTAACCGTCAGCTATTCAAATGATTTTCAATTAGCTCAAGCCTAAGCAGTAAGTCTCCCATCTCTGTGTTTGATTCAGAATTCAATGCTTAAGAATTCAATCAATAGCAAACGTAATGTTTTGATGATTAGTTCAAGTCACTTGAGTTTTCGAAATTAAATAGAAGAAATCTATGTTTGAAGGTAGATATCGGATTTCCTGAGGGCCATTTTTAGTATCAGAGCTTCCTACACTTTGATATTGTTCCTTTCTGCGGTTAAACTTCCGTTAAAATTTTTACTTGTTTTCTCACAACTTCACATATCTTGATTTGACTGTTGCTAGGATGCTCAGAACAGAACAGAACTGCTGACTACTTACAATGCTGCCAAGGGTAAAATTATTTCTTTACACTGTTGAGGTTAAACGCCTTTAATTTTACTGGAAAATAAACGGACAGTTAGTATTCTTTATGTCTTTTTCATTAGCATAAATAGCAAAAGTAGAGATGATAATAACCCGTATTTCCTGATAATATGTGTCTGGGATCTGCCAAGAACTAATTGAATTTTCACAGTTTGACCACCACTTTTTCCTCTTTCTTTACTTGTACACAGATTAACAATTACAAAGAGTAATGATCCACTGATTGTGGACGCGGAAGCCAGTTAAACGAAAGCTTCTTCTATTTCATCAACAATCATTTGAGCCATTTAAACTATTTGGAGAATCATTAAAACAGTTTAAAAAAGTGACAGTTAACTTCTGGTCTAAGCATCCCATAAAGTGAAACGAACTCCTTTTAAAGAATTTGAAAAGACCCCAATTAGAAAGCACAAAAGATTAGTGGGAGAAATATACCTCACAAAAGAGTATGAAGCTGCGATTGAGAAAGCATCATCTATCAACAGAACCTAGTGGGTGATCAACATTGAAGCTAAACATTCAAGCTAGATTGAAGTTCAAAAATATAACGAGAAACGACTAAATTTCATCCCAGAAACACCACAACACAAACCGGAATATTCTACATCTATCAGTAGATAAGCCAACTAGTGACCAAGTTTAAGAGTAATATACACTGAAGACAAACTTGATAAAAACAGAAATGGTGTCCGATAAGCACCTCATTCCACGTTAATCGAGAAAATGAGACGTTAAAGAATCAGTGCTAGTTTGCACGCTTGAATAAGAGACATTCTTGTTTATAGGAGGCAGAGTTTGGAACAATTCTCAAACCTCCACCTGTAAGTCGGTAAAGGGTGGAGTGCCGCAAGTCATAGTCCTGGCCCCCTACTGTTTCCCCCATATGTAATCGAGCTGCCAAATATCACAAAATCCCCCATGGTTCTCTACGCTGATGATGTGAAAACCTGGTGAGAAATCAGGAACGGTGAAGATATACGTGCGCTTCAGGCAGACCTGAACAGCTTGTTTACCTGGTCAGAGAAGTGGCTGATGCCTTTCAATGCAGGTTAATGCGTGAGCGTGCACTTGGGGCATACATACATACACAGCAACACCTACGATATTGATAGGACTCCTTTACCATAAGTACTGACCTACAATGACCTAAAAGCCACGGTGAGTTGTGACTTGGAAACCACGGTTCACTATAGATTGTAAGCAGCTCGGAGTTTTAAGACTTTCTTGGCACTACGTAAAGTGTTTACGAAAATAAGTGGTGACATGTTCACCATCTTACGCACATCCTTAGTTAGGTCTAAATTAGAAAACTGCGCACAGGCGGCTAATCCTTGTCTGAAAGGTGACTCGCACCTTCTAGAAAGAGTTCAGAGGGCAGCCACTCGTATGATTCCTGAGATGGCTGGCCTCACCTATGAAGATCGACTCAAGGAGCTGAACCTCTTCACTTCGTCCTATCGCAGACGGAGAGGAGACCCAATCACGCTATACAGGATTCTAGGAAATTACTTCAGACCTCATCTAGTTTCTCTTTTCCTTTCCACCAGGTCGGAACACCTAAGGCGACATAGTAGGAGACTACAAAAGCGAAGAACGAACATAGTCTAAGCAGAGTACTGGTTCTCGCGTTGAGTGATCAACGCCTGGGACCGACACCCAGAGGAATTGGCGTCCGCATTATCAATTGACTCGTTCAAATGGGATTGGAAAAGCACAGAAATCTACTGTAAAAAGAATAATTATAGGCTCCCAGCCTCTTATCCTCAAACAACAAATCTGAATCTGATAAATCTGAAGAGAAATTTAGATGATAGCAGTGTAATGATTTGATTTCTAGTTGAATCTAAGCATTCGTTCCTGTTCAAAATTCTATCCAGCATATGTGTTACTGTATCACTAAGTGTTGGATCAATTGACTTATCCAATGCAAAGAATGTATCGCCCGCCAGTAGGATTGTAATTCAAATGAATGCCACAGATAGCTTCATTTATCCTCAGATCAACGGTGTTTAACAAAAATACTATTTTGAAAACGTCACTGATGAGGCAGAAAGCAGCAGAAGCATGAAGTGGAACTAGTCGTGCCATAATTTCTCAAGGCTAATTTTCACACGCACTGTAGAAATTTGGAAACTTTGAAGTTATTGCTATCTTTTAGGAAATCGTCGTGCATCAAGCCCTGAATATGAATTTTACATGCCAACACATTTCAAGGAGCCATCAGAGCTAGCTAGATATATACTTAGCAGATTAGAATTTTGAAAATAGGAACACTAATCGACTTGTCGGGATTGTGGCAAACTACAGATTGCTTTTTATACACAAGACCATATAGAAACAAAAATTTCTGATAGCATAAACAAAATTAACCGTCAAATCGTGCTCCTCTTACAAGTGTGGACACGTAAGTTCCGGGTAATAAAAAAATATGAAGCAGAAACGGCGTACTGACAAAGAACCTATGCCGTTTTTAGGCCACTAATTACCAGACTTAAAACAGTCAGAGGTTTTAAAATGAAGTTTCTGAAAGATTAGGTGAGGATCGAAGCATTTTGTTGAGGGGTGTAGCCAAATGTTTACATCAGTTGTTTGCGCGAAAAGTACATAATCAATTCAAAATATTTGCAGAGCAAGAGCGCGAAAGCAGTTTAAAAGAGAAATCACAATTTAAAGGTGTATCACAACTTGAGAGGCATCAATTTCATGGCAACTAGTCATCGATATAATTGCTAACCAAGGAAATATACAAATTAAAATTCATTTAATATACAGAAACTGCTTGCAATCATATGATTTCATATTTATCAGATTTAGATTTGTTGTTTGAGGATAAGAGGCTGGGAGCCTATAATTATTCTTTTTACAGTAGATTTCTGTGCTTTTCCAATCCCATTTTGAACGAGTCAATTGATAATGCGGACGCCAATTCCTCTGGGTGTCGGTCCCAGGCGTTGATCACTCAACGCGAGAACCAGTACTCTGCTTAGACTATGTTCGTTCTTCGCTTTTGTAGTCTCCTACTATGTCGCCTTAGGTGTTCCGACCTGGTGGAAAGGAAAAGAGAAACTAGATGAGGTCTGAAGTAATTTCCTAGAATCCTGTATAGCGTGATTGGGTCTCCTCTCCGTCTGCGATAGGACGAAGTGAAGAGGTTCAGCTCCTTGAGTCGATCTTCATAGGTGAGGCCAGCCATCTCAGGAATCATACGAGTGGCTGCCCTCTGAACTCTTTCTAGAAGGTGCGAGTCACCTTTCAGACAAGGATTAGCCGCCTGTGCGCAGTTTTCTAATTTAGACCTAACTAAGGATGTGCGTAAGATGGTGAACATGTCACCACTTATTTTCGTAAACACTTTACGTAGTGCCAAGAAAGTCTTAAAACTCCGAGCTGCTTACAATCTATAGTGAACCGTGGTTTCCAAGTCACAACTCACCGTGGCTTTTAGGTCATTGTAGGTCAGTACTTATGGTAAAGGAGTCCTATCAATATCGTAGGTGTTGCTGTGT